TGCAGTGTGCAAAGAGCGGTAAAAAGGGAGTGTTTGTTATTGGGGTTAAAGAAGGATACTCACCAATCTAATAGTTTCTTTCCACGATGGACAGCACTGTACCCAAAATCCTCAATATATTATGTGTCTTGTCCAACATACCAATCAACACAAATTGCCACATCATTAATAGCCCGGTTCACATTGCAGAGACCTGCCATTCTTTTTTACATGTCATAAAATCTTCTGACTTTTTTTTCACATGCAAGTAGATGATGATTTGTTTGGGAATCGATAGTTTTCTGTCAATCGGACCTCTTTTTCATATCTGGAAAAGGGAATATTCCATGAGAAAATCCTTCCAAGAAAAAAAAAGTCCAATTGATATCTGTTTTTCAAGGGCACTACCTGCATTCTACTTCTTTTCCATGCCTTTTTCTAACACCCTCCCCCACTAGGGAGAGAAGCTTGCCAGGGGACCCTGCTCAGATAGGCAAAACAGCTGAACCCGATGACCAATTTTTTATGAATATTTCATGTTTATCAAGTTGTTAAAAAAAGATGTGTTGAAGGTCCCAATGTGAACCGGACTGAATACATCCAAACTTTAGCACAGTGATTACGACAAATGTGCATTTAAAAAAAAAAGAAAAAAGAAACATCACAACGATGATGCAATTTCAGACTAACAAATTCAGGAACAAAGTGCCTTGTGGTATGTTGAGGGAAGTGAAGCACAGAATATTGAATTGCGATTCTGAGGAAGCGACCAAGTAGCCAAGATTCCGATAGGGGGGGGGTATTTAGCGGGGCGAAGCTGAGGAAACAAGAGGCTCCCTCCACCTTCGCGGACGACGGAGCCGATGCCTTGTCCGAGCCCCAAATGAGCCCAGGTGCGACGCTCATGAGCGACGCCCAAGGAGTCCAACAGCTGTCCGGCCTTGGTGGGAATGAACGGCTGCAGAAGGATGCCCGAGATGCGCAGCGACTCGGCGGATAGATGCAGCGCTTGGTACGCATCCTCCGGTGTCGTCGTATCGTGCCACGGCGCTGTTTCCTGTATCAATCGGTTCGCCTGATGTTGTATGTCCGCAGGCATTATCAATACAGAGAAAAATTATCGCTCGTGCAGGTTGATACATCCTCAGTATTAGGTACTTACATCGGCGAGCACATCGAAAATCGACTTCAATGCTTTGGGGATTTCAAAGGCTTTCATGTGATTATCCAGCTCATCTAGCGATCAAATCGTAGTTAACGACAATGAGCAACTGAGTAATCGCCACCGAACAGATAGATATATAACCTTTATTTTCTTCAGCAGAGAGTAAAAAAAACGCACCTGGTAGTTGTCGAAGAACATCTTGGAGCGCTTTGGCGCCCTCAAGCTGAGTGTTGGATGCAGGCGGAAAGAGGATACTAGCGCCGGAGCGTCTGCCAGGGGGAAGTCTATTCCACAGCTTGGGAGCCGAAATTCTCGCGAGAAGATTGCCCAGCTGACCCAACAGATCTTTGCGGTAATGTTCATCCAATCGATTTGGAGCCCAATCTTTTTTTCAAGAAGAGACAGAGTGTTTTTTTAGTGGTTGTGTTTCTCATAGGGATGAAGGGGAAGATCGCATTGGAGGGGCCAGCACACCTGAGTCACCCCATAGCGAACCAGGTGCTCGCATCAGATAATACCGAACTCCATCAACGCCCCATTCTTCCATGGCTTCAAATGGGTCCACCACGTTTCCGACCGACTTGGACATCTTCTCCTCGTCGATTTTCCAATGTCCATGTGCTATGATGTGCTTGGGAAGGGGAATTCCAGCAGCCATCAAGATGGACGGCCAATAAATCGCATGGAACCTGAAAGACAAGCATTCAGGCGTAGGCAGAGAAGTCAGCGTTATTTTTTGGTAGATTAAACTGGCAAAGAAGGGGGGAAGACGAACTTGATAATGTCCTTGCCAATAACGTGGACATCAGTCGGCCATAGAGCGGCCTCCTTTCCGGAGAAAGGGTATCCAGCAGCCGTCAGATAATTTGTCAACGCGTCCAACCACACATACATGATTTGATGGGGGTCTCCGGGAACGGGGATTCCCCAGGAGAGTCTGGAGGTGGGTCTGGAGATGGACAGGTCGGCAAGATCATGCGACTTCAGTTGGTGCATGATGTCAGATCGTTGTGAGGATATCAGGGCTGTGGGTTAAGAAACATCAGCACCTGGGTTGCTAGTGAAACGATAGAAAAAAAGGACTGATGGGCTTGGTGTAGATTTACCATTGTGGTTATTGTCCAACCAGTCGATCAACGCTTGTTGAAAGCCACTCAATCGGAACATGTAATTCTCTTCTTCGATCCATTCAACCGGCTTATTGGTTTCGATCGAAGTCTAAATTGATCGAGTACCACAGCACGCGAAAGTAAGAAACCACACGCAGGAAACCTGACAATTACACATAAATGTGATTTCAAATAAATCGTGGGGAACAAAAGAAAAGTAAACCGCCACTCACCATCTTTACGACTCCAGTCAAGGGATCCATCTTTTTTTCGACTTGTGTGGAGGAATAATAGGTTTCGTCAGAAACAGAGTACCAGCCTTCGTATTTTCCTTTGTAGATATGACCATTCTCTGACAAAGTGTTCTACAACAGACAATCTCAATCAATGATGGTCACTTTTTTTCTCTGATGTGAATTTTCTTTTCGGTGTTTTTTTTTTCTAAATCAACTGACCCAAAGATGTTGTGCAGCGCGATGATGGCGGGGTTCAGTAGTGCGAATAAAGTCGTTATAGTTGATATTTGCAGCTCGAGCCAAAAGCTAGGGAAATGAAAAAAGGATGAAATAAATAACTCTTTCTCAATGATGAAACGGCGGGTTGGAAGAGGAGTGATGAACGGAAGAATCTTACACACTCGAAATCGGTCCGAGACGGATTCGCAGAGCTCTTGAGGGGACTGATGGGTAAGTTCGGCTGCCCGTTGTACTTTGGAGCCGTGTTCATCTGTGCCGGTGAGCATGAATGAGGGCCTGCCGGTTCTCAAATGTCGATATCTTGCGAGTACATCGGCAATGACCATCGAGTGGAGATGGCCAATGTGAGGAACTATGAAGGAGATTCCATATTGAGCAAATCCGGGTTTTCCTTAAGCCATGAATCCAATCAGGAGGCTTACCCGAGTTAACGTAGAAAATGGGAGTGGAGACATAGAATTGCTTGTGTTCCTGGAGGGCTAGTGCTGCTGATGAGGCTGTTCTGATGCAGATTGTTGGTCGTATGGTTGTGTGTGATGTGCGCCAGTAGGGATTGCTGACTGTCCTCAGCATTTTTTTTTGTTTTTTGTTTTTGCTGAGGTTTCCGCAGTCACATTGGCTTTAGTGGATGAACGGAGTGTGACAGCTCATCGATCAGCTGCGTCATAGCTGTGACAGATCTGGTGCATATATGCAACGTCTTGAAAGATCCGCCCTACCGCGGGATCAGCGGCCAAGTCTTTCCCACTGTTCGCATGGCTGCCTTCGTGGCTCAGCTGGTTAGAGCGCCGGTCTCATATTGTACTTAGAATATCAACGTGATCGTGTGCCCACACGAGTCATCCGGAGATCGCCAGTTCGATCCTGGCCGAGGGCATTTCTTTTGCGTGTTCAGGAGGCCAATGCCCAATCTAACCCTCATGATCAACAAAAAGACACCACCAAGGTTTGACTCTTCTGCCTTGTACAGAATATCTGCACAAGTTTTTTCTCACTTGATTTCACCACACAAATTTCTCAAAAGTGTATCAGTCACATTGAAGATTATAGCTTATAACCAGACAAAAGAGGAAAGAGTACCTGATTCCTAAATTTAGCATTTCTAAAGCTCAAACCTAAATTCTATTTGGTTGTGGGAACCTGATTGTCATTGATTTTTGCTACCAAATAAGGTTTGGCATTTAGAAACATGCAATCCAGATTTGGGCTTTTTGGTTAACCATGTTGACTCCTATATTATTGATTAGTTCTGTTCATATAGAGAAATGTTAACCTTCCTGATTTGATACATCTATGGTGTCCAAAAGGCTACATAAATTGAGAATTTGCGTAGCTGAATTCTTATTCAACACTTTTTGGCATGGAAATAAGAATTTATGCATTCATGTAATCCTTCTAAATTCTTATTTCCATGGCAAAAAGTGTTGAATAAGAATGTATTTATTTATGCAATTTCTCAATTTATGTAGCTTTGAACACCATAATCATCAGCACACTTGTCCTGTGAGATTGGCTAGAATGTTGGGTCAAGCTTAATTCACAGCTTACTGATTTCATGCCCATGTGAACAGGTGCTATTCTGCAGTCATTTGGGCATTAATATCCACAAAGCTTTGTTGGCATGTAAAGAAGCTCCATATCCAAAACAGAAATCAACTAAATTAATCAAAAAAATAAAAGAAGGAATTCATAATTGTGTGGCAAAGATAAATTGGACAGTGATGGTATTGAGATCCAATATCCCATCCATCTGGTCCTCTGAGTAACTGGACTGGTAGTAAACACCAGAAGATTGCCTAGATGTAGTGTAATGTAATACTTGTAAGAACAACATTGATGATATCAGGCAGCACATCAAAAAGGAAAAAAACTGGGAACTCAGAGAAAACCTTCTTATTAATTGTATTCTTGGTAGTGGAAACTATTCTGATAAACTCATTATGTTAAATCATGATATCATAGTACTCTGAGATTAGGTTAAATGAGGTAAATCATTTAATCTCAACAAGTGTTCAGAAGCCTTAATGTGGAAAAGATTAACTAGGACACTTTCAAATAATTAGTAAGGATAGATAGTAGTACATTTTAATCACCTCTAATAGCTACTGTCCTGTGGCCAACCAAATTTACCAAGATGGATTTGGTTGGTCCAAGCACAAAAGGAAAAGTTCAAATATGATCCAGCATCTTTTCTCATAATGTATCCAAGATATTTTGGCTCAGCTTGAATTAAAAGGCCCAACAGGGCAATGGCTAGTTGGCTCTCAAGGTTAAGGTGCAAGAACTTATGATATTAATTGAACATAGAAAAAGATAATTTAAGCCTCTAGGCTACTAAGCAAGTGTTTTGCCAGAACATTTTTTGCTCTGAGTGTTGATAAGGTTGGTTTGGGAGGAAAATAGGTAAGGGATTTATTGTTATAAATAAATGGAAAAAGATAAAATCTTTGATTCTTCCTGCTGAGACAGACAGGTATTATTCTGATTTTTGTAAGTGATCAAGCTTGCATTGACAAAGATTCCTGAAATTTTGGACCTCTTGTAACAACTTTATTACAACTGGAGTAGTGAAACAAGAGAGCTCAATACTTTTAAAATTTACAACAAGAGTCACCACCACAAAAAGGGAGGCAATGTGTGCAGATTGTGTAACCAACACAACAATAACTCCACTGCTACACCCAAGAAACCACCCTCAAACATGGGCTGAACACATTTGTAACCTCTGCCTCTGAAGCCCCATGACAAAGGCCATTGCTTGTAGTTTTGTGTATGTAAAAACAGGCTTGTAACTGAGATACACTATTGTAAGAAGGGTGTTAATAATGAGAAATTCCTAGTTAAGATCTATCAAGGCAAAATGCAATCATTGCCTCCCCTTTTGGGTTGGTGAGTATGCCAAGCAGACAGTTTAAGTGTGGATGGTGATGAATAAAGTTTCCTGTGACCAGAAAACTTGGAATATCTATGACTAGACTAGTGTAATTTATTTGTGAACTTGGTGGGATTTTCATAAAATAAACATTTCTGGGTGACTGGTTGACTCTGGGGGGGGAATAGGACAAGCAGAGGGATTATATATATTCAATGGTGCCTCAGAGGCTATCAAGGGATGAGGATCTGGGAACTTTGTCAGAGGACCTCAGGCAATGCCATGAGGGTTTATCATGTGTTTGATATATCAAAATTAACTTAAAAATGTGATATTAATTTTATTTTGAAAGATCTGGTACAAATAAATGTTGTTGAAAATTTTTTAGATGCACTAAATTACTCTATCATGTGGTATATGCACAGCAGTGATTGATTGTAAGCACATGTAGGTTATTCAACATGATTTGAATTTTGCATGGTGAAATCCAAACCTCATGGCATCTCTTGGGGGATTTTCAAGTAAGTTATAAACATAAAAGAGATATTAAAATCCTTGGGGTTCTCATTTTATGTATTTATTTTTGTAATATTTCACAGGGAATGATAATAGGGATAATTAATAATAAAAAAAAAACATGAAATAAAATAAAAGTGAGCACTGCAAAAAATAATTGCTCAGCTGCCTGCAGTTGACATGCAGCATGCTCCAGCCAATCTGCCATCCAAACTCCACATGTTTGCATATGTAGATTTTATGGCACAGTCACTGTGCAATATGCACAGTGACTGTGCATCAAAGCTTGGCTGAATCACTTCTGGAGAATGGTTGGATTAACAATAGAAGCTTCCTGGGACTTTCTGCATGTCAACTGCAGGCAGTTGAGCAAGTTTTTTTTGCAGTGGAAGAACTGGAAAAAAACTTCATAAACATTTCTGGGACATACAAGACCATACAAAACTAAACCAGGGTAACCAAACTAGAATATAGTAATTAAAAATGTTGCAGGTATTTGCTAAATGACTTTTGAGGTGTTATTTATTAAATAATTGGTAGAATAAAATGGAACAAATTATTGCTAGGTTCAATTGAGCTACACAGGAAATATCAGGTATGATCATATTACCTCTGTGGCTGACAGAGATGAAATGAAAGCATTACAAGTGTTAAACTAGTAAAAAAAAGTGATTGAATTTGGAAATATTGATGAGAGAAATGAGAAAAAGAAGACTCAGTCAGGTTCAAGCATGAAAGAGTGGTTAATTCCATGATGATGGGATGTGATTTGAATATATTGAGAGATCAGGAATTTATCCACTTGAGTTCCATGTGATTGTGATCAATTATTGACTGAGGCATTGTTTCTTGTTGACCTTAATCTTTGAAGATGATTCATGAAATGGGTGGTGCCCAAAGAAAGGAAGGAAGTGGATTGATAAGAAAAGCATTGGCAGATGAATGGGATTTTTCCAAGCATGCTAAGCACCAGGTTTGAAGTGTGATTGGTCAAGAGAGTTAATAGAAAGTGGGATTGCTCAATCCTTGAATGTCTTGCTTCATTCTAATAAATACTAAATTGATGGTTGTATTGCGCAAACTAGGGCCGGACAAACTCGAGACAAGAGTTAGAAAAGTAAGACAATAAAGAGAAATGAAGAGAGAAAGAAATAAAGGTTATCATGGAATGACTTGGCTGAACAATGAGCTGGAGAGAAGAGAGGAAGTGAAGGACAGTATGAGAGTGCAAGGACTGAGAGTGAAAGAGTGGTTAGTTTGAGAGTAGAGATGATCAAGGACAATGACATCTCACCAGACAGAAAGAAGCAGAAGATTGAGATGAAAAGAATGAGGGTTGAGAGCTTAGGAATGATGAAGGTTGAGTGTGATTTATGGGGTGAGCTGATTGGGGTTCAAGTGTTGGTTTTTGAGTTGAGAGAAGAATCAGATCAACAAAGAAAGAGAAGTGTGCACAAGTGAAAGAGAAAGAAGCAGAACAAGTTAAAGGTAAGGAAACACATAGAAATCACGAGAAAGAGAACAAGAGAGAGAGAGAGAGAGAGACATTTTCTGGATTTTTCAACACATTCAAGTTGACCTTTGAATTTATTTGTGCATTGTTTTCAAAGAAGCTGATGACCTAGTTTCAGGTGTGATATTCTTTCAACCCCTCCTTCATAGGGAAACCAAAAAGCAGAATCCAAGTTAGAATGATTTGATTGTAATGAAGGTTGGGATAGATTGATGAAAAAAAAAGTTGAAGAATAGTTTAACTTGAATTACTAGCAGGGATATTTTCATGGCACCCATTGACCATTCCCTGTGCGTAAGTGCTTGAGTTTCTTTTGGAAGGGGTTATTTCAAGACTGGTTGCTTGAAATCTGTATACAGAGAAGAAATGTATATGAAAGTTACCATTATCTGTAATTTTCTTGTCACAAATCTCCAATCTATTTATGAGAAGTCTCGGCTGGTACTTGTTCTTCAAATTCAGCACCTTGGCTTAATGGGTGCCTTACATGTTTACCCTAGTCTAAAAGTGCAAATCAGCCATCACAACATGATTGCCTGATGCTTGTTGTGCAACTATAGCTTGGAACAGGCCCAGCCATTGCTAGGCACCAGACCAATTTGAGATGGGTTATAAGCCATTTTCCTCATTGAAATCCATGTTATCACCATTTCGTCAATTTTTGAGGCTCATCGATAACTTTCCTATATCAAAGATGTTTGTGGTTTTGGTATGTACATGCACCGTATGGGCCAGTTTCGCAATTGATCTGTCACCCCAAATTACTCTTCGGAGGTGTGACAGACGTGAAATGAATTATTCATTGTCAAGAAAAAAGAGTCGCAGTGGGTCAGCAGCAAAACACAATCACAGCCAACCACACACAACCACACAACCACACAACCACACAACCACACAACCACACAACCACACGATGGCAGCGAAACAACCACGGAAAACAACCAAGAAGAAGAACGAGACTCACATGACCTCACCA